GAGGCAGTCCGTGACAAGTCAGTCAGTCAGCCAGCCAGCCAGCCAGCCAGCCAGCCAGCCAGCCAGCCAGGGCTTGCGGGCGGCGTGTGCCGTGGTTTGCGATGCGTGGGCTGGGCGATTCCAAGGGCACGGCCGTGGTATCGTGGTGATGACGCTCTGCGGGTCGGGTGATTAGCGTCACAAGCGCTCGAGACGCATGCTGTGCTGGCAACGCATCGCATCCATGGGTGTCGGGGTGTCGGATGGGTAGGTAGAGTTTAGAGGGGAGAGGGGCCCCACCTTTGTCGGGCAGCGGTGGCAGTGGTAGTGCAGGAGGTGCAGGCCTGGCGGTGGGCAGACAACGAATCCGCGAGAGTCGAGGCGGGAGGAGCCACGGTCCCGTCATTCGACGGGTGCTTATGGCGGGCGGCCGCGTCGAGGTCAGGTCATGTGAGCGCTAGGCGGTTTGCAGGCTAAGGCGCCCCGTGCCATTGGGGGCTTTTGCAGAGGGCAGGCAGGGGAGTGGCCGCTGTGGCCGCGGTGCGTGTCCACTCGTCGTCCTCAACTCCAGCGACGCTTAGCTGACTACTAGCGAAGAAGGTCATGCATTCCCATCCCCGGCCCTGCCCCTCTGCCCTCTGGCTGCTCCTCGCCTCGCTTGTCTCGTCTCACAGAACATCGCCGCCGGATAACACCACGCTGTCAGTTGGCAAGCCTGGCCCGCGACAGCCCTCCATCCGCCTCGCGTCGGCCGTCCATCTCCTGTCCCGATCCGGCCCGAGCCTTTGCTCTGTCTCTGTCTCTGTCTCTGTCTCTGTGTCTCTCTTTTTCCCGCTCTCGCTGCTCTCGCTCCTGCTCCTCCTGCTCCCACACTACCACTATATCCCTCGTGCCCTGCGCTCCTGCCCGCCCGAGCAACCCCCCGCCATAGCAATCCTATCCTCCCACTGCCGTCATGAATAGTCCCACATAAAATGGGTATCCTTGATCTTGCCGACGAGCTTCTTCGCATCATTCTCGAATATGTCGCCTCAGAACCCGAAAAGCCCATTAGCCTCGAACGCCGCGCCTATCTCTCCCAGGAGAGCTTCAAGCTGCCTCTGCCTCCAGACCACGACCAGGCCCAGACCATCGCCGCCTTTCGCCTGACCTGCACAAAGTTTTCCGACCTCGGCATCATCCATCAGTTCTCACGTATCACCACCCGTTTCTCCAAAAGAGGCCTCGACCGGCTCGAGAAGATTGCCAGCCAGCCGCACATTGCCCGCCGTGTCAAGAAATTCAGCTACATGGTCCCGTTCTTCTATGACGAAGGTCCGACTAACCCTTTTCTCTCAACCCTCCCTCAAATCCCATATACCAACCCAACACTAACTCGGCTGTAGGACGGGAGCGGTTACAAGAACTTCTCCATACCCAGCCCAACAGCTTCGCCCTCTTTGATGTTCGTCACTTCCAGACAAAGGCAAACGAGCAGAGAGAAATTGTCCGCACTGGAGAAGATGCCCGCATTCTCCACATAGCACTTCGCCAATTCACCTCCCTTCAGCACATTCAGATTCTACGCGTCCAGGACCAGGAAGAGGGGAAGCTTATTAATTACATGCGGAGCCATGAACTAAACGATTTAGTCCCACGGTGGCCTCCGGCCTGCCTACACAGTGCAAAGACAATAGGTCAGGCCCTTCTCAAGTCAGGATCTCCATGCTCAAGAATATCATCGCCCATGCTTAGTCCACAGAGTGTGTCGAGTGCCGTTGAGAATCCACCATCCACATTGAGTATCCTTGCCAGTCGCCTGACTTGCTTAGAGTTACACTTTGATGATAGCACCGACCTTGATGTGCGCATGCGAGACCTCTCTTCCCTATCCAAGGCCCTATTCACTGCAGCCAAGAACATAGAGGCGTTACATATCGGCTTTCCATCGTACAGGCCACTCTCCATCCAACTAGAGGAACTTTTCCATAACGTCAAGTGGGACAAGTTACAAGCTTTTGGTATACAGGCATGGCGGCTAGACGCAGAAGAAATCATTGGCTTTGCACAGAGACATCGAGAGACATTGCGCGGATTGCGGCTCCGAGACGTACTTTTGAGGCAAGGCAGTAGATGGAAAGATGTCCTGCCTTGTCTGCGGGACGATCTCCCAAGGCTCGACTGGGTCAGCTTAAGACGAATTGATTACGAGCAACATTTCGATGAGCAGTGGGTGTTGGGGGCTGAAGTGCCAGACGACCCTCTTGTTGGAAGCGACAGCAGTGACGAGAGCGAGGACTGGGAATATGATGGGGAACAAGAGGAGCCATTCGACAATCACAGCATTAATGGACACGATCACGACGATAGCTCGATAGCTGGTACAGAATCGGATACTGAAACCGACGAGCCGGAACCGGAGCAGGGCGGAACTCTCCACTTCCCACCCATGCCAGACACCCCAGCCTCGGTCACCTGGTGCAATTGCAACGGTCATATGGACAGTGTAGACGCGTTAGGAGACGATGGTGTCATGGTCACCAACCAGCAACGCAAGTTCTGGGAGAAGTGGGTCGTCAGGAAGATCTGCACCGAGCAGCACGGTCACAAATAAGCGAGCCCGTGTGCACTTCCACGAGGCGTCGTTGTTTTTGTTGGTGGGGGGCCTTCCGGCGTAAGATGGCGTCCTCTTATCGAACCGTTCATGGGCCGTCTGTGCGTGGACCTCGCATATGCATGTTCGCAGCAGCCAAAGCACCGCGCTCGGGCGCTTATGCAATACCCAGCAACCCGTCACTACACTCACCCCAAAACAAGCAAATGCGACCACACCGTACCGTCAATCCAGGAACCCCGCTTTTACGATTCAGTATCGAAATCAACTTCTCTCGCATGCTCTAGGAGTATCACAGGCAACCTTTACTGTTCACTTCTTTCACTGTTGCGTACGCATATCGGGTGCACGCCTACTTTGATTACGGCTTTCCAATCACCGAGGGGAAAAAATCTCGTTTTCTTGTTTTTTTTGCGAACTCAACGGCCTTTTGCAAAGACGGGTTACCCTACTTGTGCCCTCATCATCCTATCTAATGCCCCGAAAAGTCTTATGATCACAACCTTCATACATCCAACTCAACTTTCTCCCTTGGTTTTTCCAAATCACTCCTTTTACAGATAACGAATGTCACGTAGCGTGGGAGGGTAATATCGTTTCCTTTTCTTTGTCCACTATGCACACGTTTGGTTTATTGTAGACGTCCAGTTTTTCTCACCCACGCCTATAGTATATTACCTACGCCCCGTGTATAATATTATTCTGTGCCTAGTATATCACTTTAGGCTAGACGAATGATACTGCTCAAAATTGTTTGCTGTTTGCTTCATGATGAGTCACCCTTGTTGGCAAGTCATTGACTCTCACTATTACCGATTGAGCGTGTTACTGGAATGAGGCGGTGAGGATGCACGTGTAGTTTGGACTGATAGAGCTACAGGAAATCACGTGTGGATTGCTGGGTAAGAGCATAGGGTACTTGCCTCGTAACTTCTTCACTTCCCATCTTGGCAGCAATGAGTAAGCACCTGCACCTACAGCACTCGTCCTTGCAGCTCTCGTCGCCTCACGGATATCACGACACATACGCACGAGCCTTGTTCACTTCACCACACGATAAACGCGCCCGTCATACGTCAGATGGCGTTTCGCGTTTACTTAAGGCTTGGTATGCTAGTATACTGTACTACCAACAGTATGCAGCACCAAAGGTCTTGCTTCATCTTTAAATTTGACAAGCAATTCAAAAGTGTATTTTGAGCAACCTTATCATGACAACTCACATATGGCGGGAAATCGACGCCGGGATGATGATGTGGGAGCCAACATCGGAAGTTATCATCACTCAAGCAGTGGAAGAGCAGCCTCAACATGAGCAGTCACCTGCCGCCACAGAACAAGATTTACAAGGCAAGAGATAACCAATTACTGATTGTTTTCTCCTACGATACAAGTGCTAACAATCCACAAGGGTTTCTAGCTAGTAATTGCGACCATACACAACGAGAGTTGACCCTTCCACCGTATGAGGATGTTTTCGGAACTTCGCTTGACATTGAGCCCTGGAAAGGAAGTTTGTTTTTCGAATCTCCAGACTCGTCTTCGCCTTCAGAAAGAGAAGGCTCGACGCACGCATCGCATTGTTCTTCTTCTGCCTCCTCCTGGTTACATGAAAACAACCATACACCCAAGCCAGACGGTATAGGTCTTTCCAACAGTCAAGGAAGCTCCTCAAGTTTCGCGTCCAATAGCATCGAGTCATATTCCACACCTTGTCCTCGCCGTATGGCACCAAACAGAACTGGTCGCAATCTTCTATATTCTGGTGGTACCAGCCGCTCCAAGTCAAGTAACACTGCAAGAGGTTCCCAATCAGTATCCCGCAAACTCACATTCACAATGAGTGACTCTAGCGATCGCGTTACACCGGTATCGTCTTCAAGAGATTTAAGTAATCTGCAATCTCTGGCAGCTCTCCGAAGGATTGAAAGAGCCCCATCACATTCATGGGATGAGGATCAACGGGAACTGTTGACCATTCTGTATAGGTGGTACGACGATTCCAACCCGACTACTCTTCCCCGGGTCTTCAACCATGTCACAGGCCTTGATCTTCGTGTATCAGTCGTACGGCATCAGTTTGAGGGCCACGTGTTGCTGTTTGGCGGGCGCGCCTTTCCTGAGTACGCCCGGGTAATGGCTATTCCATTTCACGATCCACAAGGGCGGTACAATGCTATCCGTGGGATTATCGAAGAAACTGCCATAGACTTAGGTGTCAGTTTACAGCGCAGAGAAATAGAAATTGCGTTCAATTCTGGCGCCGCGCGGTGGGCGAAGTCCCCAAGGACCAGAAGACTGTATAGGTCCCTGGTTCGCCGCGCTGCGCAGAAGGAGAAAGAAAAGGGTCGAATTTCTCGATTGACTCAATCTGTTGTATTGTCGTCAGATCAGCAAGCAATATCGATGTCAGAATGTCTGCTTGGGAATGTAGCATTGTCCACAGACAATCAAGAGGAAAAGTGGTCTGATGTTGAAAACCTGAGCCCCCGTGCGGCTTCAGTGAAAAAATTGCGGTCCCTTATAGAGCCTATCAAGCGAAACATTGCCTTTCGCGTCTGGGATAAGAACAGTCGCACGACATTCAGTGAAGAAGACGGATTCGTCAGCCAGGCATTTTCCATCTGGCGCGGTGAGCATCCTCCTCCATTCACTCCGGACGGTGAGGGCAGGGCTGCACTTAAGCTGTTGACCAACCTGCGTAAGTAACTAGAAGAAAAGAAGTCTTCCTAGAATCTATATTAACCATGGGTTTACAGATTTGTGTTTGAAGGGCGGGGCGTCTACTTTTGTTTCCTTGTCTACAAGCTTACTCCAGGCTTTGGTCAAAGCAAGCACTATGGATGACCCGTGCATAGCTATTGGTGAGTGATATGCTTCATTTCGAGAAATTCAAAACTGACTTTACCTAACGCAATGGCAGTTGCATTGGATGATCTCTCACTCACAACGCCAAATAAGACATTGCCGGCAGCAGACGTCCTTCGAATGCTCAAGTCCGAAGGCCAGGCATGGTGGGCTCGCTATAAAGGCCACGCAGGTAAGCCGTCAGTCTGCTCGTTGCCTTATCCAATTTACTAATAGCTCGCAGAACGCATGGTATGGGCTTCGGTACCCGCCGAAGCAATTCTACATCACTTCCCTATCGCCGACCTTCACACCGTGGCACAAAGTGATCCCATCTGCTCTCAGCTTCTAAACCTATCCGCATTTCAACCTCGTAGACGCACACGCCACGTTTCTGATCGCATGCGCGAACAACGCAATACCATCACCACACATACTGTACAAGCGGTGGCAGGCATTGCGCGAGCGTTTGGCATGCATCGTGAACGCGTTAGTCTCGTACATATCCAAGGTTTCATTGCCGCTTTGGTAGATTCGTTTCAACTTCGCTACGACGAGACGGGAGATGCACACGCGAACAGCATCTCACATAACTTTGCAGTGACGCTTCGATCACGCTGTCACCGCATCGAAGACGTTGCTCTCGCGTTTCTCGAGGGTGCCAGACAGGGCAACGATGTCATTGCGTATTACTCGCGCCGCCGGTCGTAGTCGAACCAAGATGTAGGGTGTACAGCTTTCTGTTGATAGTCTCATCACCCGCTTTTTCTTTGTTTGCCAACAGTATTCAGGAAGAGGGGTTCGCTCACGAGTATATCATGTCGATATGAACACAGAGTTTGTACCGGGTTTTTTTCTTTCGGGGCAGTCAAAAGGAGGATATAGCAACGCTGATAGCGAATTTTTTTATGCGATTTCGCTGGGACGAGGGTAGCAAGGTATCCCCACTCCCAGCTGCTTGTTGCTAATACACTTCAATGTAAGAACGATGCACTGGAGTATTCACACACACACACATGTAGCCTCAAGAAACATCGCATGGGCAACACAGTACATTGGCATCATACTCTCTACCAAACCTTCACATAAGAAAAATCACAGTACGAACATCTCCTAACAAATCCAAATTCCTCATAACGCAAATTGACTACAACCTCCCCCCTCTCCTTCCCAATCTCCCTTCCCTTTCCTCCGTACCACAACCACACTCACCCCCAAATCACCGTCGCAGTGGGTTGTTCAACCCCCACACTATTAACTTGACTCGGGATGGACGGCGGCGGAAAATCATCATCATCATCCTCACCTCCATCCTGTCTCTTCCCCCAAATCACCGTTGCAGTAGGTTGCTCGACCCCCACACTATTAACTTGACTTGGGATAGATGGAGGCGGGAAATCATCGTCTTCATCCTCATCTTGACGTTTGCCCCAGATGACGGTTGCGGTCGGGGGTTGAATGCTGATTTCGTTGGGAGGAGGGGTGGGGATGGTGGGTGGGGGGAAGTCTGGATCTTCTTCTTCTGGGAAGGGGTCGTCTTCGGGGAAGGGATCCTCGGAGTCGTCGTCGGGGAAGGGGGCAGAAGTAGGTTCTGGTGAGCGTTTTCCCCAGCTTATGCTGAAGCTGGGGGGGCCGAGGGTGATGTCGGGGGGAGCGTAGGAGGTGGTGTCGGGTTCTGGGGCTGGGGTTGGTGTAGGCTTGGGGGTAGGAGTAGGGGTAGGAGTAGGGGTGGCTTTTGAAGTGGATGTTGGGGTGGGTTTAGGTGTGGCTTTTGAAGTCGATGGGGGTGTGGACTTGGATGTAGGCTTAGGTGTTACCTTGGACGTTGGCTTGGGAGTCACCTTGGACGTAGGCTTAGGAGTCGGGGTAGGCTTTGGCTTCTTTGTAGACGTAGGCTTAACATCACGTTGCTCCATGTTCCAGCTTATGCTATACTGGGGTGGCGGTGAGCTGGTTTGTACTTCCTTTGTTGATGTTGGCTGGGTTGACGACGGTTTGAGCCTCGTTGTGGATTTGAAAGTCGTTGGTCTTGGTGGCCACGGGTTCCAAGGAGGATATCCTGGCTTTCTGGTCGAAGAAACCTTTGTCGACGAAGTCGAATTTCTGGAGCTTATCGAGACAGATGGTGACGATGTAACGGATGGGTACTCTGGAGTTGGTTTTGGTGTGGGTGTGGGCACAGGAGTGGGCGTCGAGGATGCACCCGGGCCTTCTCCATCCCAGCTGATGCTATAGGTTGGATTACCAATACTGATTTGGTCGCTCGGTTTTGGCGGGGGGTATTCAGGTTCGGGTGTCGGTTCAGGCTCACTAGTCTCCCAGCTAATCCAGAATGACGGTTTTCCAAGGCTGATCTGGTCTGTTGGCTTTGGTGGATTGACAGGCTCGTAGGGGCCCTCAGTGGGCTCCGGATTTCCAGTATCCCATGAGACGCTTTGCTGAGGTAGAGTTATCTCTACTTGACGCTCTTGAAAGCCAGCAGGTGCAGCACGGATACTAAAACACGTCGGTATCTGTAGATAGACGCAGGCAGAATAACAAACCTGATTGCAAGGCCAAGTAGCACTAGCACGCTGTTGCGTGCAGGAGCCATGTTTGCTCGAAAATGTATGGTGCAAGACCAAATTTACAATTCCGTGGTGTAACTCTGCTCTTTCGTTGCGACTTTTGTGGCAAAGTTATAGACGTTTCTCCAGTCACCGATTCTGGTCAATCTAGGAGAACATGCAATGATACAGTGCCAAGATTAAAGATACGAGACCACGCGCCCTGAATCCTTAGTGAACATCGGTTGCATCTGTGTGACACCGTAGGCCTCTGCATTAGCGAGGCTTGATAGTCCATGTTCTGGGCTTTAGGTTGTGCTTCGATCTCGCAGCGCAATATACAGTGATAACCGCCGGGTCTACCTGCAGTGTCACTTGGGAGAAACCTAATTTTAGGCAAACCCTGTCCAGTAGCGTGTGTTGAATTTACAAAATGTGGAAGGTGTCGGGAAAATTAAAGTGCATCTTGTCTGGCTATATTGCTGGGTATTTTGCGTGATCGTGCCATGGTTGCAAACAGCCGAGAATGCAGGGTTTCTCTCGTGAGGACTTTGCATAATATATGAACCAACTTTAACAATCGTGTCGCTCAACCAACGAAACTACTTCGCTTGCATGACCTCGGTCCAGAATCAACCTTACCAGAATCCCTTGGTTTTGTTTGATATGACCAAGACATGGTTATATAGCCCCCATTGGGAACATCACAACCCGGTAGCGAACTCCCACAGCTCATACCTCGGTATATGTATGTTGGTAACTGTGCGACGTGCCGGGAGGGAATATGAAGAGCGCAACAGCCGTCGAACTGAGAGCGCTCATGGCAATCAGATTGTTCTCGCAATCACGAGATGCCGAACCATGACAGTAACACTGACCCTGCTTGCAGACAAACTGACTATTGACTGGTTGTTTGTTTTCACTATGGAATACCCGGGAAAGGCGGATATAGGTGGTGTAGTCCCGGGAGCCAAGGGAGGAAGAGAGCCCTGTTGCATATAGGACGTGCTTGGCCGTCATCCGTCTTCTGGGGGATCTAGAAGTTTGTCCAGTGGCCATTTTCGTATGGCGCGAATGCTTAGTGGGTCGATGTATCCCGCTTCGAACATCTCGAGCCCGGCCCATCCAATCATGGCAGCATTGTCGGTGCAAAATTTGGGAGGAGGAAAGTACAGCTCAACATCTGGAAATCCGTGAGCACAAAGGGTACATGCAAGTCTGATAACAGGTTAGCTTGATCAGTTTCTAAAGCCGAATGACAGCGGGCGCAAGTCCTAGGAATTGAGTGGACGCACATGTGTCGAAGAAGGGAGTTTGCAGCGACACCTCCAGCCATGACGAGGGCAGGCTTTGATGTGGTGACATCTCGCTGGGATTGCAGGCCTAACACCACTCGTGAAGCTAAGTGCTCGAAAACTGCGCGCATAGTTTCTCTTGCCAGATCCATTCTCTCTTCGATTTCAACCTCAGTAGCTGCTCGCTCAACCTTGTTGAATTTCCTCGTATTAGGGTCCATGCCATATCGTATGATGCGCTCGACCATTGTGGTAATGCCGGAAAAGCTCATCTCAAGGCTATTAATCTTGACGCCCCCACCGGATTTAGTCAGTGGCTTGTTGAGAGCCCAACCCCATTTAGTAGTGTTTCTCCGGATTGCATCTTCGTGATTTGTCGGGACTGCATACCATTCATACCGATGACCATGCGTACTCAAATAACTTTCAGCGGAGTATATGGACTGCGCAGATGGTGAGGTCAAAGTTGTTTGGCCTTCCAGACCTGAATTAGGAAATGCAAATGCTTCAAGGAGTGCTCCATACATGGTGCTCTTGGTTGTTTGCAGCAACTGTGCAGGCAAGACGACACGAGCAATCTTGTCCAAGCATTCTCCAATAGCAATGTCATTTGTCGACCCCAATACATGGTGGTGTGTCAAAGAAGCAGAGTGGATGAGTAACGTGTGGCCACCAGATGCTAGCACTGACAGGAACGGAAACTTGGGCGCAGGCTCAGGCGATGGATGGGCACAGGATTCAAGAGCGCTCACCATTCGCGGCGTGAGAGCATGTGCTTGCATGTGGTGAACACCAACGAGAGGTTTCTGGGGTAGGTGTCAGTGGCAGGTTCATGAGGAGACCAGCGTGCAGTACCTGCCATGCTACAGCAAGGCCCTTTGCGGTGTCGAGGCCCGTGAACAGATTACTACGCATACCAGGCCCACGTGTAACGGAAATGAAGTCGGGCAGTCTTCTCGTTGCAACGTCTACTTGGCCTGACTGCGTTGACCCTGCATTCGGAAGAACAGACCCATTGCGCATTGGGAGATGGCGCATGGCTTCATGCACAAGTGTCGCAAGGCTCTCCTGGTGAGATTGAAGCGATATGAGGGGATGCACGCCTTGGTATACTGAGTTGTTGGACGTGACTTTATCGTGGAAATGCAGTTTTGCTGTCACGTGGCCATGGTGGTTTCCTTTTTCAATTATAGCCACCGAAGTATCATCGCATGATGTCTCAATGGCAAGGGTCATGAGGCATCTTTGCGATGGCCATTGGCGTAGGCGATGAGTTGTTGAGCGGATCGCGGCCTGGAGCCCATGGGAACGAGGCCGCATTAGCTCTGTGGTTTGGGCGAGTGTGGAGTGGTACGGGTACGGGTGCGGGTGCAGGTACAGCAATTGGAATAGCGAGTAGCGAGCAAGGAGGATTTCTGTGCATGAACGTCGGAAGGGTTCCGGGGCGCAGGGCCCAGGCCTCGGCAGGCCCTGTGACGTAAACCCCCGAAGCTTCGAGCCTCACATGCCGCTCTCAACACCCTGAGTCCATATCATCTGACGTGATATGTTCCTTTGTATTCTGCGATGAAATATACGTCTCGTCACTCCCAAACACATGGCTGACATCGATAAGAAGACAGACGGCCCGGAGCCATACTCGGCCGCCGGCTTCGACTTCACCCTCTTGCCCGACTACGATAACGACTTTGTCGAAGAAGACCATTTTATTGAATTCGCCAAAGCGCTCGCTGCGCCAGAGAATTCGCCATCGACCGAGGACCTCACTTCGCCTCCGCCCGAACGTGCCTTCATCACTGCCCAAAATGACTGGCGCCCCGTCCACCAGCGCGTCAAGCGGCGTAAGAAGACAAAGGCCCCCCCACGTCGCGGCAAGGACGAGACGCGCGAGGGTTTCGTCTACATACTGCTCAAGTGGCCGCTGCTGATTGTCGTGCTCGGATGGCTGCTCTTTCTGAGTATCGGCTACGTCTTCACGCGCCTGTACATTTATCTATATGAGCACTGGGTCACATGGCGCGGAACACGCCAGAGGCTGCGCCAACGCCTTCAGGATGCGAGATCATATGAGGAATGGATACAGGGCGCAAAGGAAATAGACACCTATCTTGGCAACGATGCGTGGAAAGAGAAGGCCGAATACGCTTACTATGACAGCAAGACCATCGCGAGGGTACACCAGCAGATGGCCAAGCTGCGGGAAAAGGCAGAGGCTGATGAGAACAGTGCTTCAGGCTCCAAACACACTACAGGTCCTCACACGGCTGTCGAGGACCTTCGTGCGCTGCTGGAGGGTAAGAATATACCATACTCCTGTATACGGGAACAATCGGCTAACGTCTTACGCAGCCTCCATGAAGAACAACTTCGTCGGATTTGAGAACCCTCGGCTGTACAGCGAAACATACTACGGAACCAAAACTCTTGTTCAAAACTTCGTGGACGAAGCCGAGGCCTCCCTGTCATTTCTCCTGCGGACCACGCAGCTCGACGCTGACAACAAGCGCGCCCTCTTCAAGCACTTGGGTAGTAACTTTGGTCGCACTGCACTATGTCTATCAGGAGGAGCCACTTTTGCCTACTACCACTTTGGTGTGGCTAAAGCTCTGATGGACGCTGAGTTACTACCCGAAGTCATCACTGGCACTTCAGGTGGCGCCCTTGTTGCTGCGCTGCTGTGCACAAGGACCGATGAAGAACTCAAGAGTTTGCTTGTACCAGCGCTTGCCCACCGCATCACCGCCTGCCATGAAGGAATTCTCACATGGTCAAAAAGATGGTGGAAGACTGGTGCTAGGTTCGACAGTGTGGATTGGGCCCGGAGGTGTGCTTGGATGACACATGGCAGCCTGACATTCAAAGAAGCATACCAAAGAACCGGCCGCATACTCAATGTCTCCTGCGTGCCAGCTGATCCGCACTCACCAACTATTCTAGCAAACTACATCACTGCCCCTGACTGTGTCATTTGGTCGGCGGTTTTAGCTTCGGCTGCTGTTCCTGGAATCCTCAACCCAGTTGTACTCATGAAGAAGAATAAGGATGGAAGTCTTTCGCCCTTCTCTTTCGGTCACAAGTGGAAAGATGGAAGTCTAAGGTAAGTCATTGAATCCGCATAATTGCCACCTTGTGACGACTCACGCGGTCTGTAGGACGGACATCCCACTCAAGGCACTGAATCTTCATTTCAATGTGCGCTTCTCGATCGTTAGTCAGGTCAATCCGCACATTAATATCTTTTTCTTTTCGTCACGTGGATCAGTTGGTCAACCTGTCACTCACCGACGCGGGCGCGGTTGGAGAGGTGGCTTTCTCGGTTCAGCTACGGAGCAGGTACGTAACGAACATCCCAGCACTCAACCAACTACCTCTTCAATACCACGAAACCTTTACTTAGTCCTCCTCTAACTATATTCGTAGTATCTCAAACTTGATCTTTACAAATGGCTCAAGGTTCTCCGTCACCTCGAACTATTGCCGAGACCCCTTGGTCAGGATTGGAGCGAGCTCTGGCTGCAACGCTTTAGCGGAACCATCACCATTTGGCCCAAGTCCATCCCTTCGGACTTCATTCATATCTTATCTGACCCTACCCCACAAAGACTAGCACGCATGATTCATGTTGGCCAGCAATCTGCGTTTCCAAAACTAAAGTTCATTGCGAACCGAGCCAAGCTAGAACGCGCCATTCAGGAGGGCAGGCGCAGATACAGACCTCGTGGCGTACGCGATGAAGAAGTAATCAACACCCTCAGTGAAGAAGATCTCCGCAGCTTGCTCAAGCGAACACATAGCGATGGACCTACCGGAAACGCTCCATACCCTGCATCTGGTTCAGAGTCTTCTTCATCTGCCGGGCTTTCAAGACCTGGATCACCAATAGATCTCCCTCTGGGCTTTAATTTCACCCGAAAGAAGAAGGGGAAGCTGGACAAGATCACGACAAATGTGGATAAGCAGACTGATGTCCCAGATAGCCCTTCGTTGTCTAAGCGGTTAAGTGGCTGGTGGTCAGCCATTTCTCCACAAGCCTCCCCACGACCTGACCTCGCGCAGCCTACAGCTGCTCAAGTCAATTCACGTGCTGGAACATACAGCCACGACCGTCCTAATTCCATGTTCGAGTTGCGACCTCCGGGTGGGTTGGGTGATTTCCCGACCGGGAGGAAACAGAGCAGAGTCTTTGATGACTCTGATGACGACGATGTGACCCAAAACTCTTCTCGATATAAGCATCAGCATAAAGGCAGTGATTTCCATGATGTAGATGCAGGAGTAGGAGATAAAGAGGATCATGGCGACGCAGATTTTGGTGACGACGAAGAAGACAGAAAGGAATCGCAAACCGTTGGCGTTGGCCTTGGGCTTGAGTAACAAGAAATATAGACAGACCATTTTGATATGTATAATAGCTGAACTAAACCGTAGAAATTGTAATTTTGAGAGACCAATAATCCTGCACACAACAAGACTGGGAGACGTCTGAAGAAGGTTCAGCTCAAACACGTGAAGGTCGCGTGGGAACGTGGGCCAGGCTTGGCATGTCGTCATTGACGACGCGCCTTGAACGCGCGATCACCAGGCAGCAAGCACCTAGTTAAAACTCACCTTGAGTGATACAGGCACACACTTTACCTGTCGAAATTGATGGCTCACGCTCATAGAAGAGCGTAATGGGTGTTACTGGCCTCTGGACCGTTTTGCAACCCTGCGCGCGGCCGATTAAGATTGAGACGCTGAACAAGAAACGACTGGCTGTCGATGCGTCCATCTGGATCTACCAGTTCCTCAAAGCCGTGCGCGACAAGGAAGGAAATGCGTTGCGGAACAGCCACATTGTCGGCTTCTTTCGCCGAGTATGTAAGCTACTTTTCATCGGCATAAAGCCTGTGTTCGTCTTCGACGGGGGCGCCCCGGCCCTGAAGCGACAGACTATCCGCCACCGTAAGTCGCGCCGGGAGGGCAGACGAGACGATGCACTCAAGACAGCTGGGAAGTTGTTAGCCATACAAATGCAGAGGGCTGCGGAGGAAGAGGACAAGAAGAGGAAGGAAGCCGCCAAACATTCACGGGAAACCCAACAAGATGAGGAGATACCTGAAAACTTGGTTTATGCAGACGAACTACTCCAAACCCCCCAGGAACGGACACAGAACCGCACATTCAAAAGAAAGGACCAATATCATTTGCCAGATCTGGGCAAATCCATGTCGGAAATGGGCGCTGCGAACGATCCCAGAGTCATGTCTCTAGAGGAACTAGAAGAGTATGCGCGGCAGTTCGACAGAGGCGAAGACATCAACGTTTATGATTTCTCCAAGATCGACTTTGATGGCCACTTTTTCCAAAGTTTGCCCCCAGCTGATCGCTATAATATTCTGAACGCAGCCAGGCTGCGAAGTCGGCTCAGGATGGGTCACTCAAAGGAACAGCTTGATGCAATGTTTCCCGACAGAATGGCGTTCTCTAAGTTCCAGATTGAGCGTGTGCGCGAACGCAATGAACTTACGCAACGCTTGATGAATCTCAACGGCATGAACGACGATTCCTTTGGCAGTGGTGGTTTCAATCGCGTTGCTGGTGAGAGAGACAGGGAGTATGTCCTCGTAAAGAATGACGGGGTTGAGGGTGGTTGGGCCCTTGGAGTGGTCTTAAACAAGGAAGTTGGAAAAGCTCACAAACCAATTGAAGTAGAACTGCCCCAACCCCCAACTAAAGATGATGAGGAATGGGAAGATGATGAGGATTTTGAGGATGTGCCCATAGAAGGCTTGAATCGGCTCCCTAAACCTAAAGCAGGATTGAGTGCCCAGGAAAAAGAAGGTCGCGAGTTCATTGCAAATGAATTGGCAACAAGGCGCTGGCAGCTTTACAGGTCAAGGAAAGAAAACCCAAGACAGTCTGCTCCCAAAAGGGCTGCGCCAGTGGACCAAAACCCCGATTCGTTGTTTCTTGCCGATGAGAACGAAGACCAAGACTGGATGGACGTGCATGCCAATGGCGGTAACGATTTGACCGAGGAGGCGGGCGACGATCTTGAGAACGAACAGTTACAGCAAGCGATTGCATTGTCAATGCAATCAGGAGTACAACAACATCAAGAAACTGCTGAAGAGTCTGAAGATGATCCAGTCCGTGAGGTTTTTCCACAAAGGCGTGCTGAAGAGACTAATCCCTTCGCTGGGACCAAGGGCTCTGGACTTGCTATTGGAAGGCTTGCCAATCAACGCAGTAAC